GGGGCGGGGCCTGCAGGAGGCGGGGGAGGGGTCTTGCGCCGAGGCCAAGTGGGGCGCGCGCTAGGGAGAGCGGGAAGGTAAGGGGGCTCGAGACGGGCCTGGGGGCCTGACAGTAGAGTTGGGAGGTGGAGAGAGGCTGGGTTGTTGTGGTGAGACAGAGGGTACTTGGGGGAGAATCCGGGGGAGCCCCGGGTCAGGGTGAGGGGTGGAAACTGGAGTGATGGGAGAATCTGGAATCGGGGCTGGCCAGTGAGGAAAGGCAGGGGAATCAGGCCCAAGTCGTGACCCTTCTTGTGTGTCCCCCTTTCCCTAACAGTGTAAATGAGCAAAGATGGATCAGGAAGGTGGGGGAGATGGGCAGAAGGCCCCGAGCTTCCAGTGGCGGAACTACAAGCTCATCGTGGATCCTGCCTTGGACCCTGCCCTGCGCAGGCCTTCTCAGAAGGTGTACCGCTATGACGGAGTCCACTTCAGTGTCAACGTGAGTGCCCGGGCCTTTGCTTGCCATCCGGGGAGCTCCAGGTGCCCCTGTCCTCTGTGATTCTGTTCAGCACCTAGAATGGTAGCCTGCCTTCTTGAAAGTGGGCAGTTGAACCCATGTTTTGCATGTGCGTGTCCAGATGGGCTTCTTAGAGCTCCCCAGCCTGGATTCACCCTGAGCTGTCTTTCTGCTACTGCTTTCCTTCCTAGGACTCAAAGTATATACCAGTCGAAGACCTCCAAGACCCCCGTTGCCATGTCAGGTCCAAAAACAGAGACTTTTCCCTCCCAGTCCCTAAGTTTAAGGTACGTGTTTTCTGGGCTTCTAGTGTGGTAGTCCTAAGAGGGTATGGAGGATGCGTCTTGGCACTATAGCTGAATAAAAAGAGTTTCCAATGAAAGGGTCTCAGCCAGATCTAGCAACCTGAGACTGTGAGACTCAGTTGTTCTGGACAGGAGGTACACTTAGTCTTCTAGAAAGGTACAGGTCAGGTGTCCTAAGTGTATCTCTGGTGGCTGGGGTGTTGACTTCTTGAAGGGTGAGGTAAAGACTGTTTAGCTGCTATTCCTATCACTGTGTATTCCTAGACAGTGCATAGCACACAACAGTGGGATCTCCCAGTTCCTTGACAGTCAAGGGGAGTGACAAGGCCACTGCCTACCTGGATTGCACTGTTCCCCACCTCTCATTTGGCAATGTCATTTCCATCTTGTTTCCTTCGAGGACTCCCATTCCCCACCCTAGGCAAGATATTCTTCAGGCCTTGAACTGGGCCTGAAACACTGGTGGTTCTTCATTTCCTTCTCTGATTCTTTATTCTTCCTTTTTAAATAAATTGTCTGTGGGGTCCCTTCATTCTTCTTCTTCACCTTTTTTTTTTTTTTTTATTTTGTACACTTTACTTGGACAATCTCTTTCACACCTACAGCTTCAACTAGTACCTAAATTTTGATGACTTCCAATTATCTGTTTCCAGCCGACATCTCCAGGCTTGTATGCCTGGTAGGGGGAGAGTTTCATTTGGAGGCCACACAGATGTCTCAGAATTAAGAGATTTAAAATAAATTATCTACCCCCTTAACCTATCTCTTTCATTTTCCCTCTGCTCATACGTGGCAGTACTGTCAACTCAGCTGCATAGCCTGGCAGCCTTTGATTCTCTCCTTTTCTCTCACAGTCGGTCACCAAGTCCTCCTGGCTCTTTTCCTTTTTATTCTTCATCTTTCTATTCTCATTGCCACGTAACGTAGATCTTGGTATTCATTTCATCTGATCTCCTTGCCTTCGTTGTTTCCTCTGTTTCTTCTCTGCCTTGCTGTCATTTGTCTCTTTGGCTCACTGCTCTTCTATTTTCCTTTTGTTGCCAAGTCCATGTTTTGGGGCATTGACATGTATGGTTATTGATCTGGCCAAGCCTTATCCTCTGACTTGACACCACACCCCTGTGTTGCATCCACACCATATGCTTTGCAGTTTTTCGAAAACACCAAGTTGTTTTATACTTCCGTGTCCTAGGGGTCCTTGTCATTTGATGGAATGTTAATCCCCAAATCTCAGTAAGAATGGCACCATCTTTATGAATTCTTCCCTGATTATACTCTGTACAAAGGTTTCCTTCTCTGGGCTCCAGAATACCATGTACACATCCGCTGCCACTGAGTCGTGTTGTATTTGTATGTGTATATCTTGCTACTTTTCTGTACGGGAATCTCTTCCTTTCTATCTCTGTATTTCCAGTGACTTGTTCACGGTAGTTACCTAATAAAGGCTGAGCTGGGGAATCATCGCTCTGCAGCTCGTTCTCTCCACGTATGTTTATTCCTCAGTATGTACATTTCTTTCTTTCTTTTTTTTTTTGAGACTGGGTCTCGCTTTGTTGCCCAGGCTGGAGTGCAGTGGTGTGATCTCGGCTTAGTGCAACCTCTGCCTGCCAGGTTCAAGCAATTCTCCTGCCTCAGCCTCTTGAGTAGCTGGGATTACAGGTACCCACCACCATACCCAGCTAAATTTTTTTTTTTGTATTTTTAGTAGAGACAGGGTTTTATCATGTTGGACAGGCTGGTCTTGAACTCCTGACTTCTGGTGATCCATCCACCTCATCCTCCCAAAGTGTTGGGATTATAGACGTGAGCTACCACACCTGGCCTAGTTTGCACATTTCTGTTCTTAATTCTTGCTATTCTATGGTGATAAGAATTCAGGGAAAAGGGGTCAGGTCTGATGGATCCCTTATTATGGGCCCCTTCCCTTGCCCATCACTTTCCTGGATCTCTCTCTTGACTTCGTGGAGCTTGCTAAAGTTTCCCGAAGGACAAAGGAACAGTGGTCAGTGTTGAGACCCCATACCAACTCCTGTTCTTTCCCCAGCTGGACGAGTTCTATATTGGACAGATTCCACTGAAGGAAGTGACTTTTGCAAGGCTGAATGACAACGTGCGGGAGACCTTCCTGAAGGATATGTGCCGTAAGTACGGCGAGGTGGAAGAGGTAGAGATCCTTCTTCACCCCCGTACGCGCAAGCACCTGGGCCTGGCCCGTGTGCTCTTCACCAGCACTCGAGGCGCCAAGGAAACAGTCAAAAACCTCCACCTTACCTCCGTCATGGGCAACATCATCCATGCCCAGCTTGACATCAAAGGTGAGGACTCCTGTGCCTGCCACTCAGGCTTGGCCTCCAACGGAGGTTGTACATGCAAATGCCTGTCAGGGTCAGGCAGGCACCCAGGGTCATGATCTGAAACTGTTGGGGCCAGTTGTGTTTCTGAAATCGGATCAGATTTTAGAGTGGAATTATGGTACATGGATTTGTGTGTGTGGTGTCTCCAGCAAGGTTGGGCAATAGGCCATAATCAAGCACATAACTATCTGTTAAAAAAAAAAAAAAAAAATCATATGAAGGGTTGTACTAGGTAGGATGAATAGATTGTAGTAAATCAGCCCAGGTCAGGTAGGTTGGTTGGTTGGTTTTTGAGACAGGATCCTGCTGTGTCACCCAGACTGGAGAGCAGTGGCGTGATCTTTCCTCACTGCAGCCTCCAACTCCTGGGCTCAGTCACCCCAGCCTCCTGAGTAGCTGGGATTACAGGCACGCACCACCATACCTGGCCAACATTTTTTTGATTATTTGCAGAGATGAAGTCTCGCTACACTGCTCAGCCTGTTTTTAATTTTTCTTTCTTTCTTTCTTTTTTTTTTTTTTGAGACGGAATCTCGCTCTGTCACCCAGGCTGGAGTGCAGTGGCACAATCTTGGCTCACTGCAACCTCCACCTCCCAGGTTCAAGCGATTCTTCTGCCTCAGCCTCCTGAGTAGCTGGGATTACAGGTGCATGCCACCATGCCCAGCTAATTTTTGTATTTTTAGTAGAGATAGGGTTTCACTGTTAGCCAGGCTGGTCTTGAACTCCTGACCTCAAGTGATCTGCCTGCCTCAGCCTCCCAAAGTACTGGTATTACAGGCGTGAGCCACCGTGGCCGGGCTCTTTTTTCTATACGCTGTTCTATAACCTATATAGGTTTTAATGCCAGATTCACTGGATTTTCTGTGTTTTTTGGTTTGAAAATTTGAGACAGTAAAGGAGCTGTGAATGCAAGCGAGGTGATCTGGGCTTCTGTGTTGAGTGATGAGGAGCAGTGGGGTCTGTGGCGAGCTGCAGATTGCAGTATTGTCTGAAGGAGGCAGCCGTTAGTAGGCACTGGCCAGTTTGCAAGTGGGGATGAGGTTTAACATTCCTGAATTTGATTTGTAAAAGAAAGCCAGCCATCCTGGCCAACATGGTGAAACCCTGTCTCTACTAAAAAAAATACAAAAAACTAGCCAGGCGAGGTGGTGGGCGCCTGTAGTCCCAGCTACTCGGGAGGCTGAGGCGGGAGAATGGCGTAAACCCGGGAGGCGGAGCTTGCAGTGAGCTGAGATCCGGCCACTGCACTCCAGCCTGGGCGACAGAGTGAGACTCCGTCTCAAAAAAAAAAAAAAGCCAGGGCCAGGATGCGGTGGCTCACGCCTGTAATCCCAGCACTCTGGGAGGCCAGGGTGGGCGGATCACCTGAGGACAGGAGTTCGAGACCAGCCTGGTCAACATGGTGAAACCCCATCTCTATTAAAAATGACAAAAATTAGCCAGACGTGGTGGTTCATGCTTATAATCCCAGCCATTCGGGAGGCTGAGACATGAGAATCACTTGAACCTGGGAGGTGGAAGTTACATCATGCCACTGCACTCCAGCCAGAAATATGGGTTTTTGTGTGAAATCTCATGGTTTTAAAATATCATGTTTCCCTTCTCACAAGGTGTTTCTGAGGTGTTCACAGCGCCTGCGGGATCCGTTGGTCCCCGGGTTGCTCTTCTGTAGGCTTTAGTTTACAGGATAAAGAGCATGGGGTGATCAAGCCTCTGGGTTTGAATTCCAATTCTTTCACTGATCAATTCTGTGACTTTGTGTAGGTCACTTTTAAGCCTGTAGAACAGAGGTACTGATGCTTCCCTTCTGGTGATCCAGCATGGGTAAAATAAGTAGAAGTGTTTTTGATAAATCGTGAAGTGTCGTGATATATGTTGTTTGTGGTAGTTCAGAGGTAGAGATGAGGTAGAAGATCCCAAAGGTAGAGTTATGGTAGGAGAACTGAAATCCTGAAACCCAGACTCCAAGAAATTGTAGGAAACTTGAGGCCTGAGAAAGAAGCAGGAATACCAGATCAGGAAGGAGTTAGTGTCTCCATCTGACAATTGGTTCCCATTTCCCTCCCTCCAGGACAACAACGAATGAAATACTATGAACTAATTGTCAATGGCTCCTACACCCCTCAGACTGTGCCCACTGGGGGCAAGGCCCTGAGTGAGAAGTTCCAAGGCTCGGGTGTAGCCACTGAGACGGTGAGAAGCTTGTGGCTGCCACAGCCCCTAGCCATGTGGGCATGGTGCCCGGGTGCCCAGAGCAGGAGCAGTCTTCGGGAGGTTCCGGGCTTCCCTGTTAAACATAAGAAGAGCCAAGCAAAGCTGCTGAGATGCTTTCAAAAGACAGGGAAATAGGATTCCTGGTTTGGGGAAGGGCAGGTTTTCAAGTGATGTCTTGAGCCCATTCCTCTCTCCTTGCCCTGCTCTGTTGCTCCAGGCTGAATCCCGCCGTCGCTCTTCCTCCGACACTGCTGCCTACCCAGCAGGCACTACTGCAGTGGGCACTCCTGGCAACGGCACCCCCTGCTCCCAGGACACAAGCTTCTCCAGCAGCCGACAAGATACCCCATCTTCCTTTGGCCAGTTCACCCCTCAGTCCTCCCAAGGAACCCCCTACACGTCTCGGGGCAGCACCCCCTACTCTCAGGACTCCGCCTACTCCGGCAGGTACAGAGCAGACCCCGCCTGGGGCCCCGCCCGCAGAGTCTGGGAGCTGCCACTGGGAAGAAGAAGCCCAGAGTCTCTCCAAGAGGGAATTGGAAATAATTTGTTCTAGTTTTTCTGTGGATTCAGTCAACAAATTGCTGTCCTCAGGGAACACACTAGCTAGGAACCCAACATATAGCTCTTCTTTTGAGGGCAGACTAGAGGGGCTTTGGGCCCTAGGACCCAGGACGCTCTGGTTTGGTCGTAGAGAGCTGAGCCCACCTAACTCCCCTGCTTCTTCTCCAGCACCACTTCAACCTCCTTCAAGCCCCGGCGGTCAGAGAACAGCTACCAAGATGCCTTTTCCCGCCGCCACTTCTCTGCATCTTCAGCCTCCACAACCGCCTCCACGGCCATCGCCGCCACCACTGCAGCCACCGCAGCATCCTCCGCCTCTTCCTCCTCTTTGTCCTCATCCTCTTCGTCATCCTCTTCCTCCTCGTCCTCTCAGTTTCGTAGTTCTGACTCAAACTACCCAGCGTATTATGAAAGCTGGAATCGCTACCAGCGCCATACTTCCTACCCATCACGCCGGGCCACGCGGGAAGATCCCCCTGGAGCCCCCTTTGCTGAAAATACAGCTGAGTGCTTCCCACCTTCCTATACCTCCTACCTGCCCCCCGAGCCCAGCCGGCCCGCCGACCAGGACTACCGGCCTCCTGCCTCAGAGGCTGCACCCCCGGAGCCTCCAGAACCTGGCGGAGGCGGGGGTGGAGGAGGGCCCAGCCCTGAGAGAGAAGAAGTTCGGACTTCCCCCCGCCCAGCCTCACCTGCCCGCTCCGGCTCCCCAGCCCCAGAGACCACCAATGAGAGCGTGCCCTTCGCCCAGCACAGCAGCCTGGATTCCCGCATCGAGATGCTGCTGAAGGAGCAGCGCTCCAAGTTTTCCTTCTTGGTCTCTGACACAGAGGAGGAGGAAGAGAACAGCAGCGTGGGCCTTGGGGCCAGAGATGCAGGGAGTGAGGTGCCTTCTGGGTCAGGGCATGGGCCCTGCACACCCCCTCCAGCCCCAGCTAATTTTGAGGATGTGGCACCTACAGGGAGTGGGGAGCCAGGGGCTACCCGGGAGTCTCCCAAGGCAAACGGACAGAACCAGGTGAGATTGGGGTCAGCCAGAGGAGGCACCTGGGCTCTGGGAGTCAGGGTTGGGCCTAGGGGAGAGGGAAGGGAACTAGACGAGAAAGTAAGGTTTGGGACAACAGAAGCCTTCTGTGACCCTCCTCTGCCCCCGCAGGCTTCTCCATGCTCTTCTGGAGACGACATGGAGATCTCCGATGACGACCGGGGTGGCTCACCCCCTCCGGCCCCGACGCCCCCTCAGCAGCCTCCGCCGCCTCCCCCTCCCCCGCCTCCTCCTCCTCCCTACCTGGCGTCCCTTCCCCTTGGTTATCCTCCCCACCAGCCTGCCTACCTCCTCCCACCCAGACCTGATGGGCCGCCGCCCCCTGAGTACCCCCCACCTCCTCCACCACCCCCGCACATCTATGACTTTGTGAACTCCCTGGAGCTCATGGACCGACTTGGGGCTCAGTGGGGAGGGATGCCTATGTCCTTCCAGATGCAGACCCAGATGTTAACTCGACTCCATCAGCTGCGGCAGGGCAAGGGATTGATTGCCGCCTCAGCTGGTCCCCCCGGTGGGACCTTTGGGGAGGCCTTCCTCCCATTCCCACCCCCGCAGGAGGCAGCCTATAGCTTGCCCTATGCTCTATATGCACAGGGGCAGGAGGGCAGAGGGGCATACTCGCGGGAGGCCTATCACCTGCCCATGCCCATGGCAGCCGAGCCCCTGCCCTCCTCCTCAGTCTCGGGAGAGGAGGCCCGGCTGCCACCCAGGGAAGAAGGAGAGCTGGCAGAGGGCAAGACCCTCCCGACGGCAGGCACCGTGGGCCGTGTGCTTGCCATGTTGGTCCAGGAGATGAAGAGCATCATGCAGCGAGACCTCAACCGCAAGATGGTGGAGAACGTGGCCTTCGGAGCCTTTGACCAGTGGTGGGAGAGCAAGGAGGAGAAAGCCAAGGTGAGGCCAGCACCTGGGACCAGGGAGCCCTGGGCTCTGCAGGAGGAAGTGAGCCTCTGACTCCTCCAGGCTGCACAGCTCAGAGGAGACAGGTAACAGAGGCGAGTGGAGAGAGGCCGCAGGCCCTCAGGGCTGCCCTGACTGGGCAGGGGAGTTGGGGGCACAGAGAAGCAGGCACAGATGGGCCTGGGAGGCAGCAGAGCTTTGTCCTGGTTCCATTGCTTGGTTGCTTGTGGTGGACAAGGCCCTTAGGTCTCTTCAAACTTTGGTCTTCCATTTTGCCATTTGTGAAGTGGGAATGGTGGCTATTTCTTAAGGCTGGTGGGCGAAATGAGCAGACTTTTGAGAAAGTGCCATGTGGGGGCTGGGACAGGTGTGACCAAGATGTGGAGCAGCAAGTAGATGCGTTCTGTATTCCTGGGGTCCGGGAGTAGGTCTCAGGCAGGAGGGAATGCCTGGGTTCTGGGCGCCGGGGCTCAGCCCCACTGCTGCCTGCAGCCATTCCAGAATGCGGCCAAGCAGCAAGCCAAGGAGGAGGATAAAGAGAAGACAAAGCTGAAGGAGCCTGGCCTGCTGTCCCTCGTGGACTGGGCCAAGAGCGGGGGCACTACGGGCATCGAGGCCTTCGCCTTTGGGTCAGGGCTGCGAGGGGCCCTGCGGCTGCCTTCATTCAAGGTACTCAGAACTGTCGTTTTGTGGGGTAGGGTGGGGAAAGGGAGAGGGGTGGTCAGGAACTATGAGCGTTTGAGCTCTTTTTTTTTTATTTTATTTTTGAGACAGAGTCTTGCTCTGTTGCCCAGGCTGGAGTGCGGTGGAGCTCACTGCAACCTCTGCCTCCCGGGTTCAAGCGATTCTCCTGCCTCAGCCTCCTGAGTAGCTGGGGTTACAGGCGCCCGCCACCATGCCCGGCTAATTTTTGTATTTTTAGTAGAGGTGGCGTTTCACTATGTTGGCCACGCTGGTCTTGAACTCCTAACCTCAGGTGATCCACCTGCCTTGGCCTCTCAAAAGTGCTGGGATTACGGGAGTGAGCCAGCATGCTCTGCCTGAGTATTTGAGTTCTAAACGAGCCCCATCTTCTCCCTGTTCCCCAGGTAAAGCGGAAAGAACCATCGGAAATTTCCGAGGCCAGTGAGGAAAAGAGGCCTCGTCCCTCCACTCCTGCTGAGGAAGATGAAGACGGTGAGCAGGGTCAGGCATAAGGAGAAGGGGTGGTCTGTGTGGGTTCTGATGGGAGAGCAAGGGTCGGGGATGAAGGGGTTGGGTCGTTCTGAGGGCAGAGCAGGTGGGGGTGCAGGGTTGAAATGCAGCAGTTCTGAGAGGTGTGGGATACACCAGGTAGGGCTATTCCTGGATTGTAGTTGCGGGTCTTCCTCTGGTCTGCTGATTTACATTTTCTGTATTTTGGGTTTTTCCACCCATGAAATTCAGTGTCTGGAATCACGGAATTCCAAGTTAAACGAGGCATCTCCCCAAGTTTCCCACCTGATGCTCATGCCCTCCTACCACCTTCCTCCCAGTGTGCTCGAGTTTCAGCCCTTGCTTGATGGCTACCATGGCCTGGAAACTTCCCCACTGAGTCAGATCTGCTTCCCTGGAGACCCACTGGCCCTCGTACTCTTTTCTTGGGCTAGGCATAACAAATCAGCTCCCGCTTCCACCCGACCAGAAAATGATACAAGATCAAATGGGCAGGACATATTTAAAACTGTGTGGGCTGGGCACAGTGGCTCTTGCCTATAATCCCAGCATTTCGGAGGCTGAGGCAGGAGGATCACCTGAAGTCAGGAGTTCAAGACCAGCCTGGCCAACATGGCACAACCCTGTCGCTACTAAAATTACAAAACAGCCAGGCATGGTGGTGTTCACCTGTGATCCCAGCTACTTGGGAGGCTGAGGCACGAGAATCACTTGAACCCAGGAGGTGGAGGTTACAGTGAGCCAAGATCATGCCACGGCACTTCAGCCTGGGTGATAGCATGAGACTGTGTCTTAAAAAAAATATATATATATGTATTATTTT